AAAATCATTTAGAGCACATTTGAATATATTATGAGATTATATTTATTTTTATTTATTATAATTTAATAAATAAATATTTGAATTTTAATAAATTTCTATTTAATCTATTTTAAGTTAATAACTTAATATTTAAATATTCAAATTCTCATAGATCATCCAAACAAATTTTACTGCACATATAAGAAAATATTTGGCAAAAATAATGTCATTTTAGCTTTATACGAATATCCTTTTAAAATTCTTAGCAAAAAAATAGATTTTTTTCAAATACCGAATAAAACAAGAAAAAAGCTATTAATCGAATTCTTCTCAATAATAGTTCGCATTCCTTTTCAAGTGCACAATGTGTTATGAATATGCAAATCTTCATTGTTTGCATGATTTAAAGAAATAAAATTTTGAACTTCTTGGCTAAAATTTTGGGTTGAAAGGGCCAAGCAGTTCTTAAAAAATAGCCTTTTTGCCACCACAACAAGTTTGGAGGCTTGCTATGATTCCAAAAAAAATTCTAAACTTAAAAATAAAAAAAAGCCCTAACGTGTCATAGATTAACTAACTTTTTGTCATCTAAACCTTAACTCTCTCCTTCTATCTCTCTCTTCCTATAAATCAATCTTGGGGGTTGCAATCAACCTTGGGGGTTGCCTTCTTAAACACCAAAGAGAGAATATTTCAGGAGAAAAAAAAAATCCAAAGCGAAAAGGAAAACAGAAGGGATTAGTTGTTTATTCTTCATAATGGATCACACGACTCTTGAGCTCCAATCATTCGAACTTCATCTTACCATCCCCCCGAATCGACGATTCCGTCTCCCACAAAGAATGACATTAGTCTACCTTCCTAGAATTAATGAAACTCCATTGGCAGTTAATGACGCCAACATCCCTGCTAATAAGGAGGCTCTGATTGAACTTTGTCGCGTTCGATCAATAAATATCACTCACGAATCAGATGTTGTGTTTGCAAGTTCAGATCAAGTTTGTATTGGCAATGAGATTCGTTTTGAGGTTTGGATCCATGGAAAAAAAGCTCTGCAAGGGATATATATGAAATATTTTCAAATAGTGCAAAATGGGAGCTGAGATGTGAAGAAGTCAACTTGCCGGAATGGGCAGAGATAAGCGTGGTAACAAAGCAAGGGCTTTTGATGCGAGAGCGGATGAAACTAAAGAGAAAAAAATTTTATTCTTCGTTGTTGGTAATAAAGGAGGAAGATGAGATGGAGCCAGAAAATAAAAAAAATGAGATAGGAGGATTTGATGGTTCCGATCAAGTGAATGAAAAGAGAAAGGAAGATAGAGATGGAACAGCAAGAAAAAATATTAGTTGGGCGTTAAATGTGGGAGTATGGGTAGCATGCATAGGAGTTGGGTTTTTTGTTTCGATTGTTTCGAGATCTTGTTTGAAGAGATTTGTAGGCTTGAAGTTATTTTGAGAATATATATATATATTACGTTGAGCTCTCTTCATTTTTTTTTTGTAGAGATGGATCATTGTTTACATGCCAACATATGTGAACAATTCAAAATATTTGTTATATTTTAACTTTTTTTCTGTCCCAAATAGTATCCTAATGTTGCAATATTTACTTTTGTTTTTTACATTCAATTTTATTTACACGTCTTTATTTCGTTTTTGGTTGACAAAACGATCCACAATTTTTTTTTCATCGAATTGTAATTTTTGGAAATAGTATAATATATGAAATATTTTCAAATATGATTATATTTTCTATTAAACACAATTTACAATGCAATTGATTGCAGATTATATACAGGAAACTTTTCATCCTACTACTCATATGATAGAGGCGAAATAAGGAAAAAAAAATGGATTTCATGACTTTAGTGAATTTAATTTGATCAAACTTTAACTCACAAAAAAATTTGTGATTAAAATGTGCTTGATTTTGACTTTATTATTCTCTTGAATTTTGATTTTCATAAGTAGTTGGGCTTGTTTTAATATTTCTCTTTTTAATTTAAGTTAATTTGAATAATTTGAATTTCATGATTTTAGTGAGTTTAATTTGATCAAATTTTAACTTTCGCGAGTTTGGATTAATTTGATTGTGATAAGTGACTAATGATTTTAATATAACAACAGCCGACACCAAGGGGTGGCGCTATAGCACCACTCAAAAATCTTCATTTTTGCTCATTTTTTCCTCATTTTCTCTAAATGTCCGTTCCATGTACCTGAAACTAAAAACATGCAAAATGTCTTCCTTTAAAGTGAAATATCATTAAAAATTTATATAAAAGACTTATAAAACATGCACTAAAAATAGGTTATTTTTAGGTGGATCAGTGTCTCCATCATGCACTGTCTGATTGGTTGATAATTCAGATTTTTTACAACGAGTTAGTAGGATCTCTTAGATCTATCATTGATACTGCCCCTGATTATTCTCTTATGCCAAAGCCATTTGATAAGTCCTTTTCTTTGATTGAGAAAATGGTTTCCAACAATTTCAATGGCCTTCTGAAAGAGTGATTCCTAGAAAGGTAGCAAGTATACATGACACAGACGTGCTTTCATTTCAAAATTTTTAGATAACTACTTTATTTTGGAAGCTAGATATAGTAGGAATGTATCAGGCTCAACGACCATAAGTGATTGAGGAAAATTCATTCGAACAACTAGTTGTTGCTAATGCTTCATCACTTAAGACCCTAAATGCAATCAATAATAGAACTAACAACCCTTATGCCAATTTTTAAAATCCCAGTTGAAGAATCACCATAACTTCAATTGGAATAACAATCAAGGTGCATAAAACCAAAAATGGGGGAGTAATAAACATAATTCTTTTAGGAATTGGAACAATCAAGGTAGTTTTAACTCGAGACCTTCTTATCCTCCTAGTTTTAACACAGCCTAAAAATTTATGGAAAAGAAACTATCTTGGGAGGAAATTGTATTGGAGATGGGGAATCAGTTACAAAGTTAAGATGCGACTTTTAAGAATATAGAGAATCAATTAGAGTAGATTCCAAACTCACTTAGTAGTCGACCCCAAGGAACTCTCCCTAGTAACACTGAGTTCAACTCTATAGAAAAGAATAGTGAGCATATGAAGACAATCAAGTTGAGGAGTGCAAAACAGTTGGAGGAAGTTGTACGAAAAGATCCTGAGGTGGAGGAAAAGAGTTGGAGCCTGAAAGATCTATGGAAGACCTTTCTAAAGATTCATGAAAACCAGTCTCACACTAAGGATAACTTAGAAAGATCACCACCACTATTTCTTATGAGACTCTAAAAACAAAATCTGAATCAAATTTTTTCTATATTCTTGGAAGTATTAAAGAAGTTGTCGACCAACATTCCTTTTGTTGAGGCTTTGGAGCAGGTGCCAAACTATTTAAATTTCATGAATGATATCCTTAATAAGAAGAAGAAGTTTGGAGATTATGTGACTGTATCACTCAGCGAGGAGTGTAGTGTTATCATTCAGAAAAAGCTGTCTCAAAAGCTTAAGAATCATGGGAGCTTTGCGATTCTATGTGTTATTGAAGAGACGTTATGTGGGAAGACTAATGGGAGCTTTGCGATTCTATGTGTTATTGAAGAGAAGTTATGTGGGAAGACTATGTGATTTGGGTGTCAGTATTAACTTCATGCCACTTTTTATTTTCAATTGGTTAGGTTTATGAGAAGTGTCTCCTACCACTATAACCCTTCAGTTTGCTGAGCGCTCGATCATTTATCTGAGGGGGGTTATAAAATGGATGAATTTATCTTTTCTGTTGATTTCATTGTATTAGACAAGAAGGAAGATAAATAGATCCCCATCGCTTAGATATTTAAACACTTGGTCTACTAATAAAAGGTTTTTGGAGTATTTCAAATGCTTGGAGGATTGATGTGTAAAGCCTGGCTTGGTATAAACTATTAATGCTTCAGAAAAATGCAAAGAAGAATCTGAAGAGCTGGAATTAGAATGTTTTTTGTGAGGTGACCAACAATGATATAGCTGCTGAAGAACAAGTTTGCAAATTGGAATGCATGATTTGTGCTTAGGAAGCTACAAAAGTTGCCTAGGACAAATTTTAGTTTAAAAGGAGGTTGGAAGATTTGAAGTAGGATCCATGAACTTAAACAACGACATGGTTGTAGTTTATTAGTGAGATACAACATAATGAGCAAGGAAGACTATAGGAAGGTGCGACAAAGAGTATGTTGTACATATGTCTCACGCAACGAGAAGAAAATATTACATATTTTCTAATTACATGCATAAAAGGGTGGATATGATGACCACATCATCACAATTTCATATATGTGACTTGGCTTTTCCATCCACCATTGTTCGAATATACTTATAAAGTATATAATATTTTCTTCGCTTCAAGTATTCATTTTATTTAAATATTTCTTATATGAATTTATTTTTAAGAATTAAATCTATTTAAAGATGAAAATTATAAGAAAACTATGGTCTAACTTTTTTTTCAAAGAGAGAGCAATTTATATATGTACCACACAATTGTCATGTAATAATTTTGTTAGCTCATAAAGTTTGATATATAGTTGTAGAAACTTTAGTAGGATGATCAAATTAAAATTTATGCATTGCATTTTATTTAATTTTTAAAAGATAATAATGATAGTGATATTTTTATGTGATTTTAAGACTTTATATATAAATATTAAAATATAGCAGTTAGATTTATAAATATATAAAAATTTTGTGAAATGTATATAAATCTCAAAAAAAATAAAAATAAATAAAAAATTAACAACAGTTTTACCATCACCGCAGGTGACGTGTACAGTGGGTGGGAACCTATAACCGGTCGGCGGTAACTAGTAAATGAAAAAAAAAAAAATAAAATAAAAAATTAAGAACAGTTTTCCCATCACCGCAAGTGACGTGTACAGTGGGTGGGAACTGGGAACCTATAACCGGTCGGCGGTAACTAGTAAATGTATAAATTTTGTGATCATGAAAGGCAGCAATTTAACCAGCTAAATGAGCTAATAATAACTATATAAAAATCAATCTCCTATCCGCTCCCCATTTCAAAATCTTGTCCCCCTCGCTCACTTACAACGGCTCCGTTCTTCAGTGGTCTCCTTCCTCCTCCAGTGTCTAAGGGTTTCTAGATATCTTATCTCCGATGAAAGCCCTCCTTCATACCAGAAGCGGTAGGGGTACGCCCTCCGAAACCTTAACTCCACCATCTCATAAACAGAGGCCGCCGAAGGTACCAAAGGAGAACGTCGAACCGAACATGATGCCCCCAGAATCATCTCTTTTTCGTTCTCCGCCGGTCTCCGGTAAGTCACCCTCCATGAGAATTCGTTGTCCCCTTCCTCCGCGGCCCCCGCTTCCCTCAGTCCCTCGCAAGAGGAAGCTGAGTTTGGAAACCCTGCCAGAAAATGGATCTGCAGCTCCGTGTCCCTGCGATTCCGGCGTCCGGGTAACCCATTTCTTTCTTCCTTTTGGTTTTTGTTTGATTTATCTTCTGGATCTGCTCCGAGGCGATTGAATTTGGATCTCAGGTGTTGTTGCGGATGAGGCCACTTAGCAAAGTGGAAGAGGAGGAGAAGGAGAGCCAGATTGTGCAGAAGATCTCTCTCAACTCCATTTCAATTCTTGATCACACTTTCACCTTCGATTCAGTGGCTGATGCAAGCTCCACGCAGGTGGGGTGTAGATTGTTTAAATTGGGTTGTTAAGAAAAAGATTAGTTATAGTAATTATAGCCTCTTTTCATTTGGATCATAGAATGTCCTCACCATAGTGATTTTCTTGTTGTTAGCAAGACATTTTCGAACTAGTTGGGGTTCCATTGGTGGAGAATTGCTTGGCCGGGTTCAATAGCTCCATTTTTGCATATGGGCAGGTAGGGACATTTAATTTTTTTATATAGCTCCACTCTTAATTTGATTCTTTTCAAGAAGACTCAAAGCTCATTTTGGTACCATCTTCTCTTGGCAAGACTGGAAGTGGGAAGACATACACCATGTGGGGGCTTCCAAGTGCACTAACGGCTGATTGCTTGTTGAGTCAAGAAAGGGGATTGACACCTCGAGTGTTTGAACTGCTCTTCTCACGCATAAATGAGGTAGCTATGCTTTTCTTGTTTTCATCCTATGAGTTTTCTGGCACTGATATGACTTCCCTTTTGTTCATCCAGGAACAAGCTAAGCATTCAGATAAACAGCTAATTTATCAATGCCATTGTTCTTTTTTAGAAGTAAGATGGACAATCCTGCATTTGAGACATATGCTTTAGTTTTCTATGTAGCTTTTGGCTTTATGTAATTTATTTCTTTTTTTAGATATTCAATGAGCAAATTACAGATTTGTTGGATCCAAGACAAAGGAACCTTCAGGTTTGTTCTAATTTTGGAAGGGTAATCTTTTCGAGGCAAGAATTTCACATTATATTTTTCTAGTTAATTTTGGGTTTGTACTAATCTCAGATAAGGGAAGATATTAGAACTGGAGTTTACGTGGATTGTCTCACAGAGGAGTATGTTTGCGAAATGAAGGATGTAATTCAATTGTTATTAAAGGTGTGCAACTCTACAAGGTTACACTATCATCTCTTTCCATGTTTGCAACTGCTTAGATGATTTATAAAGGGGCCCCTTGGCTCAAGCAATATGATACTTGATTTTGAAGTTGTTGGTCATGGGTTCAATTGTTGATGGACATGAAGTGAAGGAAATCTCTTTCTCCTCATGTGGTTTTAAAAATCTGTAATTGGCCTTTTTCCTCATTATCTTAAATATATATATGACATAGGGTTTTATCCTCAAAAAAATCTGCTATGATGATTTTTCTTTAAACAATATTAATTTTCATTTTGTGATAATAGATTTGCCTTTGTCATGTACTTTTAATCGTGTCTAGTTCTTCAAACGAGCTTTACTTTGAAATTTTCTTGGATTAAAAATTTAATACAGTTTTTAGATTGAAAGCTAAAATATTTGTTCGAAATTACTATTTTTAATTGATTAGAAATTTTATGTATTGTATTAGCTAGTGGATCTATACCCCAAAAAAAAAAAGAGATCTTTTTTGAAACTTAATCTAGTCACACTTTTCATAAGTTTTTTCCTTGTCCCATATTTTTTTCCTCACGGACACACCCATATGTACTGGCCTGAAAATCATGATTTTGTGGTCAGAGACAAAACTCTCAATCACTAAGCCACATAGTTGCACTCCTTGTTGTGCATGTGAATTATGCTTCTCATTGACCAAACTTAATCTAGTCACACTTTTCATAAATTTGTTCCCCGTCTCATGTTTTTGTTATTCACGGACACATCCGAATGTACCGGCCTTGAAATCAGGATATTGTGGTTACAGACAAAGCGCTCAATCACTAAACTAAATGAGTTGCACTTTCTGTACCAAAACTTGCGCATGTGAATTATGCTTCTCATTGAGCATTGCTTTTGCAGTGCATCTTAAAAGCTTTTAAAGTGCACCTTAAAAGCAAATTGTATAAGAAGTACTTTTTGGGGTCCATATACGGTAACAAAACAAAATACTCTTTGAAGCGTTTATGGGCATATTGTTGCTTCATTAGCATATTGAACGCTGGGTTACATAATTTCTTTCTTAAAATTGTAATAGAATGACTTCTTTTTTCACTTATGTGATTTGTTTGGAGCTTCTTTTCTATGTAAGTTCCCTGTTCCATTTACTTTGATTTTGTAATTGCTTCATCATTCATCTCTACTATTTTTCATGTCATCATTTTTGTGCCTTTTAACATGTAACTGTCAGTCACTTAACCTTAAGTTTTTTTATTATGAAATTTCAAATTCTTATCGAGGCATATTGTCTTTTATTCACTGATAGTGATATGTATCTCGTGTTTGTTTTTCTTATTTTTTTTTACCTTCTTTATTTTGGGGAAATGATATTGCATGCTACTTTGTTTAAATTATCAAATGCTTTTCCTATTGGCAAGTATCATTCATATTATTTAGTGTTAATACCTCAATAATTTTATCATGTAATTTACTTTTCAATCAAATTTTAGATATATACTTTATATGAAAATAGAAAAATGATTTATTTGGTTTACACTTGTAGGGGTTGTCAAACAGAAGGATTGGGGCAACAAGCATAAATGTGGAGAGCTCACGATCACATTGTGTTTTCACTTGCGTTGTTAAGTGTCGTTCAAAGGTGTTCTCCCATTTTTTTCTCCCATTTTTGCTCTTATTTCAGCAAGAAAAAGTCTTTTAATTGTCACTCAATTAGTTCATGAGTTTTTGCGTCAGCTGTTGATATGCGGCCAACGGTTCCATTTTGGGAAGAAATTAGGAATTATGCATTACATTTAGCTTGATAGTTGTTGGGGCATTTACATACATACCACACAATTCTTATGAATTTACATTTCTAACACCTAAACTTTGATTTTTACATTTGTAACACTCAAATATTTAATATCACTTCAAAAATACCACTAACACGAAGTTTTAAAGATTGAAATACACATTTTAATACATAGGTAAAGTGGTGTAAATGCAAATTTTAAAGTTTAGGTGCGAGATATGTAAATGCATATGACTTGTGTGGCATATATGTACATCTTCTTAGATTGTTTGCATTTTATGCATACATATGTAAATAAAATTTGTTATATGGATCACATATGCATGTTACTTGAAATATCTTCTTAGATTGTTTTTGGAACTTGAAACTGAGTATGCTTGTAAGCATAGAATGCCTTATTTTTATTTTGGATTGAAATTTCAATTTACATGCATCTGTGATCCATATTACAAAGTTTATTGTCATTGGAAATATAAGATGCATGGACTGGAAGGAGTAAACGGAAATTGTTTTATTTTTGTAGTTGAGTGTTTTCTTTAGTTGGAATTCAGTTTTATGTTCCTTTCAAAATTTTAGTTTTGCTGTTCTCTTTCCTTTAATGCATGCATTTGAGGTTCCTTTAAAAATCTATCTAAAGGGTGATGCCGCAACTGTCTTTTAGAGCTTGTTATTCAAAAGTTGTTGATTGGTTTTTAATTTAGGTGGTTTTTACTCTTTCCTTATAAGCTAATATATTATTTATTGTTTTCAATTCAAATGGATACCTTGGAGTAGGGGTGTCAATTTGGGTCTATGTGTCAGTTTCAGGTCTACCTGGAAATTGACCTAAACAAGAACTGCTTGACTCAAACCCAATCGAAATATTAAACAATTCAAAAAATCTAACTCAAACCTAACCCACATTCAACTCAATTGAGTCGAATTTGACATGCATAATATTTGTATAATAATTTTTTAGGTCAATTTTGAGTCAAATTTGTGCCAATTTGAGGGTGGTGGGTCATATTCAGGTCAATTTCAAGTTGGTTGGTTAGATTTGAGTCAAATTTGGATCTGCAGGTCAATCTGAATCTGACTTGAAAATTGATCTCGTCAACCTAAACCTGAAATTCTTGAGTTGGGTTCGAGTCGAGTTTCCATGTTAAGTCAATTTTTGACACCCATATTGTAGAGTTTTTATTTGGTCGTGTCTTTTGGATTTTGCAATATCTATTTCTAGTGATTTTTTTAGCTTATGCTAATCTATTTGTTTATTCCGCTTGAGAATGTTAGATTGTGTATCATAACTTTGAGGTTGGATGCAAGAATATGGGATTTTGTTCATTAAGAAATCTTCTTGTTCGGGTGGTTGGTTCAAATACTATAACTTAAGGTGCGTTTGTTTTGGCTATGACTGCAATTTTAGTTCAAAAACTGCTGTAGAAAATCTGTTGTTTAAAAGCCGGTGTTTTAGAAGTAGTTGGTTTGTTTAAAAAATTCAGTTTTGAAAGTGCTCTGTTTTAAATATCTGAAATACCCCTTTGCTTATATTATTTAGAAAAGAGTTAAAACAAAGCAATATTATATATTTGGTTGTAGTTAATATAATTTTTAATATAAACACAGAAAAAAAAATATTATTGATTAAAAAGAGAATTCACTAATTTTTTTTATACCCTTATACAAAAAATTGATCAAATTATTTGTTGTTGTTGTTGTGTGTGTGTGTGTATTATAGAAAGCCCAAAAAGGCTAATATATTAGCTAGAAAGAAAGATACAGATTCAATGTGTTGGAGGGCCCCAAAAAAGACATCCTGTCTACACCAAACCACAAGGGGTTCCTAAACTAAAAAAATACTGAAAAGTACATTAGAGACATAAAGAAAAGCCTAAAAATGCTGAAATACATAATATCAGGTGGCTAGAGAGCAACCCAATTTGGTTTTGCCTTTGTCTATGGTTTTAGGAAAGGAGCAAGCTAATAAGTTGATAAGATGATTGCTATTGCCAGTAGTAACCAATGTATCATCCAATATGTTCCCGAGCTGGAGTCGGTCTCCATTCTTTTTATTCCTCCTAGAATAGACCTGTCATTCCTTTTCCGAAGATTAACTCACCTGATTTTGGTCTAAAGTGTGCTGGAGATGTGCATATTGTTGAACATTAGAAGCAACTACATGTTGTACCTGCTGATCTGTTATTGGATCAAAGAAGCACTCTCGTGTGTCTTGGCATGTAAGTGAATATTCTTCAATAACAGTGGGTGGTATAAGCACAAAGTATAAGCACAACTGGATCTGTAGCTGTAGTATGTTGTTCTTCTTCAGGAACTGTGGTGTTGGGAAGAGGATCAGGTTGCTTTTTCTCAACAAGGATAATAGGTGGCTGTTTTTTAGTGATATTCGACCTTAGATGAGGATGCAAACGATAACAAATAGTAGAGCTGTGACCAAACATACTACAATGAGAGCAATAAGGAGGATGTGGTTCAATTTCAACATTTTGCCAATACCCGTTGTGCATAGTGTCAATCCATATCTCATCCGGAGCTGGTTGAGCGATATCTCTCTCAAATAACACAAACCACAGAGGGTCTAGTGACAACAAACGTAGGACTATCCACCTTGAGAGACTTACCGTAAGCAGTTGCTAAAGAGTAGAGGATTTTCATGTTAAATAGATGTAATTTTAACCTCGAAAATTTTATCCAAACAAGATTGATAGGGGACTCTGCTTTTAGATCAAAACCGACAGTTCACCTCAGAATTTTCATAAAACGATTGTCAATCTTGATTGCTTTTCGAGAAAAAATGCGAGTGTAATCGACATCATGAGATAGTTGAATAAGTATATGTCTACCGTCAAGTAGCCAAATGTTCCAACTGTCCAATAGTTTCATAGCATCAAATTCCTTTCTAATGATCTCCTAATATATATATATATATATATATCATTTTACGGATGTGCCGTCGTCTCCGCTTTGCTAGTGTTTCGCCTAATGTTGAACTTTAGCATGTGCTACGATATTTCTCGCGCCATACTTTAATTTCCTCTGCTTCACCTTCGTCGACGGCTTCATCTGTTTGAAGAGCTCGCGTCGTCAGCTTCATTTGTTGTGATTTTGTCAGGCTGCGTTTTCGTCGTTGTTTCATCTGATTGAAGAGCTCGTGTCATCTGACTCGTCTTCTGCGTTGCTTTGCTGCAGGCTGAAGGGCTTTCGACCTCGACAGCTGCGTCACGACTGACCCAGGTCGACAACTCCCTCTCGCACTTTTTGTTTCTACCGCTACTTTCTTCTTCTCTGTGAAACATCTCAATTTCCTCCTTCGCACAAATTTGGCACAACGACTTCTTCCTGATCGTGACTTCGGCTACTTCGTTTGCTAGGGCACTCGGATGGAGCGAAGTTATGCCCCTGCTGTGTCTGCGGGTTCAGATCCTGGTTTTCGTATTGGTTAGTCCTGCAATGTTCCACAATCCTTCCACGATTCTCTTGAAGATGGCCTTGAAGATGGCGGAGATCACACTTTCATTAAAAAGTTTGGTAAAAAAATGGGAAGTCTTTTCTTATTCTTACTGAGGTTGAAATCAGTACTCTCGTGTCTTCTTGGCGTTTTGCTCTAGTGGGGAAATTTCTTTATAGTCACCCAAAACTTGAGATCATTAGGAATGTATTGAGCAGTTGGAACATTGACTTACTTGACGGTCGACATATACTTATTCAACTATCTCACTGTGCTGATTACACACTTATTACTTGACGGTCGACATATACTTATTCAACTATCTTACTGTGCTGATTACACACTTATTTTTCTCGAAAAGTTATCAAGATCGACAACCGTTTTATGAAAATTCTAAAGTGGAGAGTCGATTTTGATCCAAAAGCGGAGTACCCTATCATTCCTATTTGGATAAAATTTTCGAGGTTAAATTTACATCTGTTCAACTTGAAAATTTTCTACTCAACAACTGCTTACGGTAAGCCTAACTAAGTTGATAGTCTTATGTTTGCTATCACCAGATCCTCTGTGGCTTGTGTGTTAGTTGAGATATAGATCACTCAACCAACTCCGAATGAGGTATGAATTTGAACCACTCATAACATGTATTGACAAAATGTTGAAATAGAACCACACCCTCCTTATTGCTCTCATTGTAGTATGTTTGGTCATAGTTCTACTATTTGCTATCGCTTGCATCCTCATCTAAAGACGAATATCGCTAAAGATCAGCCACGTACCATCCTTGTTGAGAAAGTGCAACCCGATCCTCTATCCAACATTGCAGTTCCTGATGAAAAACACCATATTATATGTATAGATCCAAACGTGCTTATACAACTCACTGTTATTGAAGAAGACTCACTTACATGCCAAGACACACGAGAGAGCTCTTTTGATCAAATAAAAGATCAGCTGATACAACAAGCAATTGCTTCTAATGTTCAACATTCTACACATGTCCGACACACTTTAGCCCAATCCACTGATCAGGTGAGCCAATTTTTGGATGAAGAATGTCAGGTCTATTCCAGGAGGAAGAAGAAGAATGGAGGCCGATTCGAGCTCGAGAACTTATTGGATGATACATTTGTTACTACTGACAATGACACTCATCTTACCAATTTATTTGCTGACTCCTTTCCTAGAATTAGAGACAGAGGCAAGACAAAATTGGGCCACTCCCGAGCTACCTGATAATTCATATTTTTTCACTTTTTGTTTTTTTCTTTAGGCCTCTCATGTAATTTTCAGTATTTTTTCTTTTTTTTTGAACCATTTGCATGTGGTGGTTATCGTGTGGGAGGGTGCCATGTTTGGGTTCTCCCACACAATTTATCTGTATCCTTCTTCCTTTTTAATAAATTAATAATAATAATAATAATAATAATAATAATAATAATAATAATAATAATAATAATAATAATAATAATATATTCAATAAGAAGAATTTTGTGGTATGCGGGTTATGGCCAGCTAGGCATGATGCATGCTGAGAATTCTGTGGTATCCTAAGGCCCTTTTTGGAGTGACATTTTCCAAACCGCAGAATGCGATTTCCTTACCGCTTTCACAGATTCACAAAAACTCCTTGTCCCGTTCGTGCCGTTCTGATTGAAGCAGCAAACACAAACATGAAATTTCATTTTTTTCCCAAAACGTGGTCTCAAAAGTCCATACAAACACATCCTTAGAGGTTGGTTGAATTTTGTGTGATACACTATCATATTAAGGTCAATTTCAACTTGGTTGGTTAGATTTGAGTCAAATTTGGATCTGTGGAACCTCACTTGAAAATTAATCTCATCAATCCAAGCCAAGAATTTTTTAGTCGAGTTTAAGTCGAGTTGGCATGTTAAGTCAATTTTAACACCCATACTTTGGAGTTTTGCTCTGGTCATGTCTTTTGAATTTTGCAGTATCTATTTCTACCGATTTTTTTTAGCTTATGCTAATCTAGTTGTTTATTCCAGCTGAGAACTTTGGATGGTGTATCATAACTTTGAGGTTGGATGCAATAGTATGGGTTTTTGTTCAATAAGAAATTATTATTATTATTATTTTTTTTTCCGGTGGTTGGTTCAAATACTGTAACTTTGTGGTTGGTTGAGTTTTGTGGGATACACTATCATTCAATGAATTATTTAATGTATAATATTTACAGCATTACGATTGATCAAGCATTTCTCATGAATTATTTAAGGGTTTCATGATTATAAATACGAGGTTTGAGACATGGTTAAAAAGTTTTCGGTTAAAAGCAGATTCTGTATTATCCTGGATGTTGCATTCTTATATTTGCGAGAAAGTTAGGGAAGACCTTAAGCTTATTGTGAAATCTATCATTGCTGATACCATTTTGAATCTTGGTACTGGAAAGATCCCTTTATTTGCAACTTTGTCTTAAAGGTTGGGGTTCGTATCTTGCCCCATTCTCTTGAGTTGTTTCAAAAGGAATAATGTTTTTCAATCAACAGATTTGCTTTCTCTGGAAGTTCTAGATGAGGTAGCTTATGAAGTTGTATCATTGAATTCATGTCATGTAATTTTAGATTGTCTATATATATGGGATATTAAAGTCATCTTCCACAGAGGAAAGCAAAAATTGTGCTTGTGAAGTGAGGAAAAAAAGATAGAGTTGTTCTATTATTGTGCCTTCACAACAAATGGCGAAAACGTAGCATATAAAAAGGTTTTGTGGAGTTAAAGAGTTCTCTTCTTGATGAAAAACAGAAAAAGCTAGCCATCCAAGTTATTGATCCATAGTTTGTTCGGGATGATGAACTTTCACAACTAAATTAAGAGCTTAGGGCTAGAAGTAAGAAAGGATGGATGGTGCTGAAAATTAGACAAAGAAAAACGAGCTCTTTTTTACGTGTGCTAAAATGGGAAGGTATGATATTGAAAGATCTTAGTGAAAGAAGTAATTTGGATTACAATGTTGGGTGAGGATCATCTCATTAGGAGTCCATAGGTATAGATGTATTGTCAATGGTATGCCTGCATAGGTATAGATGGATTGTTAATCGAATGCCTGATAATTAAGTGCGGGAGGCAGTAATTTGCTTATTTAGATGGCGATGAAGACATCAATGTAATTATGACTTTTAGTTTTTGAACTTATTTTAATTTGTTTAATTTCTTTGTTTTGATTTGAATTTCTTTCTTTTATAATTTTAGTTTAGGAAGGATAATATTGTTTCTAATTTGTATAATAGGGATGAGATAATTCTTTATTGATGGATTTAGGAATAAGGCTGTTTCTTATTTGATGGAGTTAGGCACGACTAAGTAGTTTTCTAGATAGGATATTTTTTGCAAAACAAATTTGTTATAATTCCTCCAATAAAATTCATCTTTTTTTCTCTGCTCATAAACTGTCACAGCATCACAAGCACTATAGCAATTATGGACAATGTAGCAAACTCGTGTTACTTTAACAATCATGAGTATTATTAGAAGCAATGAATACAAGGTAAACGTTAGGCATGAGAAGTTTCTTACAACAAAAACACTCAACCAGTTCTCTTATCATTGACTCTTATCATCATCTTGAAAGTATTGCGTCCAATGACAGTCGTCTTTGACAAATTTGAATTGGTTCTAATTAATTTTTTATATTTCTTTGTGATTTTCAATCGAACATGTAAATTTTGTTTATAATCATGCATTTCTATAAAAGATTTACATTAAACGAATATTAAATTAGCATTTTTTAATTTTGCATGTTTCTATGTTCTATCCAAAGTAACAAATAATTATCTAAATTAGATATTTATAACTTGATATTGTGTACGTAGTTTTGTGCAATTCATTTTAGATCTGCATTAGGAACTTTAGACCTTAAGCTGCTTTATATCAATATTTCTATTAATCTTCTGAGATATGGTTGTTTTTTATTGCCGTGCTATTTTCAATCAAACATTATTTTTTTATAATCATAAATTTCTATACAATATTTCCATTAGATGAATATTAAATTATTATTTTTGAATTTCACATTTTCCTAGCTTTTCTCCTAAGTAACATATAATTATCTAAATTAGATATTTGTGACCATAATTTGATCTTGCGTACGTAATTTTGTGCATTTTAGTCTAGATCTGCATTAAAAACCTTAGACCCTAAGATGCATTAAATCAATATTTCTATGAACCTTGTGAGAAATGAGTTTTTTTTTTATTTTTGCCAATTAGATTTTTGACTCATAAGTATTGAGCTTTTTATGAATCTATTAATTATGTGATAGCTTCATTATTGCACAAACTCGTCATATTTGGTATAAAGCTTGTGGTATTGATGATGATTAGCTTCAATGTTGGGAGATTAATCAAGTTGCCCTTGCCCTTTAATTTGTTATATTGGGTTTGGAGCTTAGCATCTATCTGATTTACTTCCTATTGAATTTTCCAGAGTATGTCAGATGGCCTTAGTAGCTTAAAGACCAGTAGAATAAACCTTGTTGATCTAGCTGGATCCGAAAGACAAAAGGCCACACGTGCTGCAGGTGAACGTTTAAAGGAAGCAGGCAACATCAATCGTTCCCTTTCCCAACTCGGGTATTTTTTTTTATCTCATTGATATAGAGAGATGGTATGACTGGCTGGTTAAAAACTCTATTTTTTGGCTGAACTTATTAGGCTTTATTATGATGGTGATGGATTTTTGAAGCAGCACATTTTGTTATTTGATGTCAAACGTATAAAATATTGCAGCCTTGAACATTATTCTTTTGCATTATCCATGGACTATGAAGCTTGTAATCTTCAGAACATCAAGCTAAGTCTTGAATAGGTTTTTTAGTTTTTCTCTTATTGTTATCAACATTATTAAATAAAATGAAAAAGGCAAATGGTTTCTACATGGCTGTGAACATTTAAATACAGGCAATAAACTTGTATCTTACCAGGGCGTTGTATCAGGCTTTCTACAGGCAATAAACTTGTAACGTGGTTATAGTTCTATCAGGCTTTCTACAGGCAATAAACTTGTAACGTGTTTATAGTTCATCTCCCTGTTATCGACCTCACCAGCAGCCACTCTTTCTTTGCAACCCCCTAAGTGACCAATCTAATTCGATTCACATGGCTTTTCTGTAATTTTGTTTTCTGTACATTTTAAAATTCCTTTTGGACTATTTTTTTCTTTGGTTGTATTTTTACTGTAAATTACTTTTCATTAATTACCAGCTCTGTCTTTCATGCAGGAATTTAATTAATATTCTAGCAGAAGTTTCTCAGTCTGGAAAACATAGGCACGTCCCTTATAGAGACTCGAGGCTGACATTTTTATTGCAGGAATCTCTCGGTGGTAATGCAAAGTTGGCCATGATCTGTGCTATTTCACCTTCAAAACGGTAAGTACAAATCAACTAGAGTTGGTTATATTCTCTTTTTTTTTTCTGATATCCTCAACTACGGGAAATTCTGATGAGTTCAGTTGCAAGAATGAAACTTTTAGCACCTTGAGGTTTGCACAGCGTGCTAAGGCAATAAAAAACCAGGCTGTTGTAAATGAGACGATGGAGGATGATGTTAGTGTCCTAAGAGAACAAATACGTCAACTGAAGGTAATTTTTCTTAGATTTTTATATCGTTATTAACACATCTTCAATGATGCCATAAAGGAGGCTGATATTATTTTTTCATAATCAGGATGAACTTCTACGAATAAAATCAAATGACACATCTACAGAAAACAATAGCAGAAATTCTACTGGATGGAATGTCCAAAGAAGCTTGAATCTTTTGAGATTAAGCCTTTGTCGTCCAAGAACATTACCACTTGTGGATGATGACAGTGATGAAGAGATGGAAATCGTCAGGGAAGGAGTTGAAATAACATGTATTGAGGCACATTCAACCTCTGATTTAGAAAAATTTTGTGCTAATGAGGAACCAAATAGCTTGAAAGACCCGAAAGATTTAAAACCTGATAATTCTGATAAAGAACCTAATCTTAATGATACATACCCAACTCAAATACAAGGTTCTGATTTTCTAAATGACCAAAATAAAGAGATAATGAGCGTCGAAGGTTATGAAGGACAGCAAACTGTAGCAGAAGACTTTTTAATAAAAAGCCAAGAAATAACAGAAATTACAGACGCAGAAGTTTCGATCATTCCCGACATAAAAGAGGACACATTTCAGGACGTGTGTGAATCAGTAACAATCCTTGCTAAGAGAAAGTCATTGGATGTTAGCTGCAGTGAAATTATTGAGGAACATTCTGTGGTTATTGGTAGTGATCCTGTAGGGGCCAATGTTATTGACAATTCTCATAACTCTTTTACTTCTCAAAGTCACGTTTCACCTTGCAGGCTTGACATTACAGCATGTGAAACATCTTTGGCTCTCGAGTCACCCATATCAAGTAAGTCTCCTAGATTTGAGAATTGCAGTAGAAGTCTGAGGTCATCAACATTAATTTCAGCATTACCCATGTCCAACTTGTCTCCTAGACTTGAAAATTGTAGTCTGAAAAGTTTGAGTACATCTTTAACTTCAGCATCTCAGAAAAACATATCGTCACGTTTGGAACATGATTCAGGAGCAGTTACTGTTTCATTTGCCGATAACTTAAACCATAATAATGCTGTTCATCCCACTCTATCCAGCAGGAATTCGTTATCAACGGCTGAACAACTTGCAGCAAGCTTACAACATGGTCTTCAAGTCATTGATTGCCACCATCGAACTTCATCTGCAAGGAATCCGGCATTCCGGTTCTCTTTGAAACCATTTGATCCGAGGCTTCTGACCTCAACGAACAAGGTTGACATTGGCATACAAACATTCTCGCAAGGATCATGTATGTTAGAAGATTCATCTGCTTTTATATGTAGTTACTGCAAGAACAATGCTTTGCCACTCGAATGTGATAATAGCACTGAGCAGGCAGGATTGCAAATAGTGCCTGTGGAGGATGGTCAATCAGCTAGCAAGTTACAATCTCTCAATCGATGCAGGAAGCTTGTGCCAAAAGTATGATTTTACAATGCTAAATATATGTTATTTCTATATCATAAGTTTTGCCTGGTAACTTTTTATGAAATCTGTGAGACATGTCTTATGCTCAGGCAGTGGAGAAGGTCTTGGCCGGTGCAATTAGGAGGGAAATGGCTCTTGAAGATCACTGTGCTAAACAAGCTGCTGAAATTATGCATCTAAATCGTTTGGTGGGTGGCTTTCTTAACTCATAGTTTTAAACTACAGAACAACGAGTTATAACTTGTCATCATACATCTTGATTATTTGCAGGTCCAACAATACAAACATGAGCGTGAATGCATCTCAGTTATTGAGCAGACCCGTGAGGATAAAATCTGCCGTCTAGAGGGTCTTATGGATGGTGTTATACCAACAGAAGAGTTCATGGAGGAGGAATTTCTCTCCTTAAGAAACGAACACATGGTCAGTTAGATTTACTAGTATATCTATATCATTTTATCCGCAGCATGGATTTTATTGAAGAGGCAGTCAATTTCTGAGAGTTTTTACAAAACACGCGATCCTTTTTTCTCTTACAGATGCTAAAAGAGAAATTTCAGAATCATCCTGAAGTTCTACATCTAAAGATTGAATTAAAAAGAGTTCAGAATGAGCTGGATGGATATAGAAACTTCTTTAATATGGGTGAAAGGGATGTACTGATTGAGGAAATACAAGACCTAAAACGCCAGTTGCAGTGTTTCATAGACTATTCGTTGGCATCAACATGTGGTCGAAGTCCATTGCTGCAGTTGACCCATTCAACTGAACATATGTCAGCTCCTCTCACCATGATTCCTGAAACAAAAGAAGAAAGTGCTGAACAAATCATGGAACAGGAGAGACGCTGCTGGACTGAAAAGGAGAGCAAGTGGATTTCTCTGTCTGAAGAGCTTCGAGCAGAACTCAAATCCAGTCGTGCGCTTACTGATAAATGCAAATCCGAACTTGAATCTGAGAAGAAATGCTCTGAGGAGCTAAAGGAGGCACTTCAAACAGCATTAGAGGTTCATACGCGAACTTTAGAACAATATGCTGAGCTGGAAGAGAGGCATATCGCTTTGCTTGGGAGGCATCGGAAGATGAGGGAGGGTATAACTGATATGAAGAATGCAGCAGCACGAGCTGGTGTGAAAGGTGCTGATAATAAACTCATTGAATCTCTTGCCGCTCAAATTGAAGCTCTTAGGGCAGAGAGAGAAAAGGAGAGGCGGTACTGGAGAAATGAAAACAAAGGTCTCCAGACTCAGCTAAGGGATACTGCTGAGGCTTTAGAGGCTGCTGGAGAACTACTTGTTCGTTTGAAGGAAGCAGAAGAGGCTGTCACTACAACACAGGTACATGTTATAATGGAGCACCACGAATTCTTGGAGGTTATATTTTTTGCAATTTAATAGGCTTTATCTGACACTTGTAATACAGGAAAATCTTTGCGAAAATGGATTCAAGTGATACTTTTAATACATGACAATCTTTCCAAAATTAGATTAAATTTCTTTTGAAGAGTTTCACTATGGGAATTTATACAGAAAATTTCCAAATTACTATGAAATCAGCAATTTTGGTCAACTAAACATTAGAAATATAAACTAAAAAGGAAACAAATCCTTTTCTCGGATGGAAAACGTGTTAAAACATCGACGCACTCAAGTTTATCGAAAAAAAAAGTGAAAAGTATTACTAAGGTATTGCTCTTAAGTATAAAAAATTCGCACTTAAACATATAGATGATTATTTTTTTGAAGTTAGTACGAGATTATTTCACATGACGAGACGAAACAACGCAACGAGTTTTCACGCGCTCGTTTTGAGTTTGCCATCTCCTGTGAACAACCTGAAAATCATAGACATCGTAGAAATTCATGATATTCGGGCTCATATCGTGACTTAACCCAAATATTAACTTACTTGTCAAAACATATCTCAAACAGACTTTTCAGTATAAATCTGCCCTTCCGATACGGCCTATTCATTTCACTTTTTCTTTATAACACCACACTCTTCCCTTCCTGCTAATAGTCCTTACGAAAGCTCACAAACTAAGTTCATGCTTCCGATACAAGTTTGACGCCTGCAACAACTACTGAAAACGATTAAATGGACATTTTCATGGCAAATGTCAAAATGGAAACATGAGGAAAGAAATGAATGTTTAGAATGGCGTTAAAGAGGGTTTCATACCTTTAAATTTCCTCCTGGAAAATCTTTGCGAAAATGGATTAAAGTGATACTTTTAATACATGACAATCTTTCTAAAATTGGCTTAAACTTCTTTCGAAGAGTTTTGCAATGTGAATTTATACAGAAAATTTCCTAATTACTGTGACATCAACAATTTTGGTCAACTAAACATTAGAAATATAAACTAAAAAAGAAACAATTCCTTATCTCCATGAAAAATGTGTTAAAACATTGACGCATTCAAGTTTACCAAAAAAAAAAGGGAAAACTATTAATGTTTCTTTAGTAGGTATTGCTCTCAAGTATAGAAAATTCACACTTAAACCTACAGTAAATTATTTTTTTTTGAAGTTAGCACGAGATTATTTTACTTGACGAGAAGAAGTAGCACAATGAGTTTTCACACGCTCGTTTCGAGTTCGTAGTCTCGTGTGAACAACCTGAAAATCGTAGACATCATAGAAATTCATGATATTCAGGCTCATATCGTGACTTAACCCAAATCTTAACTTGTCAAAACATATCTCAAACAAAATTTTCGGTATAAATCTGCCCTTCCGATACCGTTTATTCATTTCACTTTTTCTTTATAACACCACACTCTTCCCTCCCCCTCGCTGATTTTGTGCTAATAGCCCTTACGAAAGCTCACAAATCAAGTTCGATGATTCTGATACAAGTTTGACTCCTGCAACAGCTACTGAAAACGATTAAATGGACATTTTCATGGCAAATGCCAAAATGGAAACTTGAGGAAAGAAAGGAATGTTTAGAATGGCGTTAAAGAGGGTTTCATATCTTTAGATTTTCTCTCGGAACCCTGAATGACCACCTGAAGCACTCGGTGGGCTGGGCTTCCACTCTGTTCGCGACCTGGTACAGTAACCGAGTTGAGGAACTCTCGTGTGGAGAGGAATTAGGAGGAACTGAATTAAGGTTCAACATATAAGGGCAATTCCAATGGATCTCAGCCATCCAATCTATCCTATGGTTAAAAAAATGCATAGGAAGATCGGTTCGGAACAGTGCATATGCAGGAGATTAGAAGAGGATCAGGATTAATTAAGTTATTGATCATATACTTTTGAATTTTCTATCTCTCAATCCATTCATAATTTATGTATAGTGCTTTATATCAAATTGATTGTTTTAATGCGTAGAATTTTATAAAATAGTTTCGGTTGAAATTTTAGAGGTGTGAAATGTTGGATACTTTAAAATTTTGCGGAACTTTTACCTATTCTTAAATTTTGGGTGTTGTAGTTTAGAATGCAAATTTCTCACTGATCCATGGGGAAAGCAATTCCAAGGTATAAGAGGATTCTCCATTAAGTTTATAACATGTTGGGAATTTACCTAAAATTATATAGGTTTTCCTTATGATGGAGTATGAGAAGCTCTACCATCAACTCTGCAGCCAGATCTCACTTCCATGTTATAACAAGATTCTCCACTAAATCTGTAGCATGCTGTAGAAATTTACCTAAAACTATTTAGGTTTTGCCTTAAGATAGGGTATAAAAAGCTCTACCATTCATTTCACAGATGTTGTAGTAAATTATCTAGGTTTCTTCTTAAGATGGCTTGGGAAATTTGAGAACTTGAAAATCAGGTGGATTTTTGCTTGAATAGCTAAGTTCAAATTAACAATTGAAAAATGAGAGAGATAAATATAATGGTGCCTGGTATAAAAATAAAGTGAAATAGAACATTATTTAATTAATGTTTCTATTCATCTCTAAAGAATGTTATTTAATTAAAGTTTTCATTCAAGCTTTGTTTTGTCCCTTCTAGCATGGTAAATCGTTTTATTAGAAATCATGTTAATAATCTCTAAATGTTGGATGTTCACTCTACTTATCTTATAGTATAACTCATGGGTATACAACTTTGGAGTTTAGATATATCCTTACTAATTTTGTTAGCTCAAACTATAGCTTAAATGTCCTACATTTAGGTTTGTATGTGACAGATTGTATTCAAACACCATTGCTTCATTTTATTATTTCTCTTTGAAAAGATAAACACCCCATCATATATTTTAAAACTCTTCGACAAATGTTTTGTCTGGGTTGTTCTTTACGAGTCACAGTGCCGATTTTGTTATCCTTTGCTGATTGCTTCTTAAAATAGATCCTTTTTGAAAATTCCTCTGAGCTGAATCCCTTCTTGGGTTAACATCTGACGTGGATCTTTGAGCAAAATTAGGGCATTTTCTCCTTTGATGTCCGGGTTGTTTTCAAAGTAACAGACCTTCAAACCAAATAATCATTCATCACGATGTTGCTTTCCACACTTTAACATAGAGTTGTGCAGTGCTGCTGCCAGCATGACTAATAACTCCACCAGTGTAGTATTTTATCTTCTTCTCATTAGACTCTCCTCCTGAATGAACTGTTGGTGCCACTTCTTCTTAACGCTTCTTCTTGTGCAAATCTCTACGCTTCCGAGTCTGTTGGAGATCAATCTCCACCCACCTAACCCTCTCCACCAACACTGAATAGTTTTCAATCTCAAGTGCAGTACTGATTGCTTGATTGAATCTTTCAATCCAAAAAGAAATCTATGACATTTCTCTTGTGCATTCAGAACGAGCTATGGTGCATATCTTGATAGCACAGTGAACTTCACTTCGTGCTACATAATCGATCGATCTTTTTGCACCAATTTTTTGAATTTATCTTGCATCTGTCTCCTAGCCGATTGTTGTACAAACCAACCTATGAAGTTTCTCACAAATCGCCCATTGCACCAATTAGCTGGTTCTACCTCCAAACTTCTCTTGTATTTTACGTTCCCACCATTTTTCAACTTCACCTTTAAATGCAAATGTGGCAAGGGTAACTCCTCTTTATGGTTGACATGACCTCCTCTTTATGGTGGACATGACAACCCATCAATATTCCTCTCCTCTTAATAGCCGGTTTTCAGCTTTCTCCGTGCTTCATGCTCCAGAAAACAAAGGTAGTCTCATGAGCTTCAAGTTCTTATTCATTGATGCACCTCCACTATTACTAGCTTGAGATTGAGAAGTCTTAATCCGCTGAGTCATAACATTCATCATATCAGAAAATGCACCAGCACTGGCTGTGACATTCTAAGGACATTAAATTTGACATTATCATCTCTGACCTCTTCCTGATGATTATTCATAATTCAAAAATAACAACAATATACTTTATTTAAACTCAATTAAAATTTTAATTTATATTATTTATAATTTAGTCCAATCATTCTTTTAGTTCATTCATTTTAATATAAATCTGATGCTCTGATACCACTTTTGTCACGATCTGGTCCAGGCCTTGAAGTTAACAAAACGGGAATGAACGGTCAGTTAGTGGAAATCAACTCTTTATTACTATATTTCTATTACTAATAGTTTAATATTCAAATATTTTTGAAAGAGCCACAAAAAAATCAATTAAATTAACAAGTAGAAGTTTGTATATTTTGGATTGTTATTCTCGCCTCCTATACATATTTGATCCTCTTTTATTTATCTTGTTCAAATGTTTAAAACCTAAACAATATTAAAGTAACATAATGAGTTATAAGACGTAACCCAAGAGTAATCACATTTCTAAACTATAGTAATCCAAGAAAAACAAATCAATATGCAAGTTGATCTTTCATATCACTATAAAAAACTTATAATATGCTAGTCTAATATTTTTATAAGAAATATTCTATATACTAAAACATGTGTCAATGAGATTTTCTAAAAAAAATATTTAAATTTTCTATATGTATTTACTTTAACTTGCCTTTACCTTATACTTTTTACATACATATATCTCTTTGAGGATCTACATCAACAAAACCTAACACAACCTATATTAATCCGTTTGCGTAGTGGTTAGCAATCCAAATATCACAATTATCCATGGTGGAAAGCCCCTTACCTGCCCAACCTATATTATCTTGTCGGCATGGTGGTTAGCGATCTAAACTATAGCAATCCAAGAAAAACAAATCAATATGCACGTTGATTTTTCATATTACTATAAGAAATCTTATAATATGCTAGTCTTTAATATTTTTATAAGAAATCTTCTATATACTAGAGCATGTATCAATGAGATTTCTAAATAAAAATATTTAAATTTTCTATATGTATTTACTTTAACTTACTTTTACGTTATACTTTTTACAT